CAAGCTGTTCCACTGATTAATTGTTCTAACTCAGGAAGTTTCTCCTCAGTTCTAAATTGCTTCTCTCCTTGATTATAGTTTCCACCCACTGCTTCTTGTTCTACCCTCAGGTGTCTTGGAGAATAGTTTGACTCCCTCTTCTTTGTGGCAACCCTTGAGATATTGGAACACTGCTATCATGTCTCCCCTAGTCCTTCTTTTCATTAAACTGGACATACCCAGTTCCTGCAAACGTTCCTCATATGTTTTAGCCTCCAGTCCCCTAGTAAATGTATGTAAAGTGGGGGTGGGCCATGTGGACAGCAGAGTCGGAAGATGGCCCTGAGAACGCTCCCTTCTCTGTTTCTCAGAGCAGCCAGTGCAATAACATCTTCACACCTGCAGATTGGCTGAATCCACTCCGGACTGTTGGGAGGGGTGTCTAATTCCTTTATTCTTAATTGTACGGCCTGAGGGACTTCAGAGCCTGCTTTGAACCTGCCCTGCTATCACCCCTTTTCAATAAAAGGTTCCTTTTGAAAGGCCAAGTTTCAAGAATCTTTACTTTCTTGAATAACGGTGAGAGGACGGGCCTTTACACCGGCTTCCCCATTGACTTTGTTGTCAGAAGGCCACAAAAGATAATTGCGTGACCCCAGGACACTGTAACTGTGATTGCGTGACCCCAGGATTGCGTGACCCCAGGACACTGTAACTGTAACTGTGCATGCCAATTGTCAAGAGTCCAAATTTTGATCACATGATCATGAGGATGCTGTAATGCTCATAAGTGAAAAAACAGCCATAAATCACTTTTTTCAGTGTCATTGTAACGTTGAAAGGTTACTAAATGAATGGTTGTAATTTGAGGCCTATATTTTTTAATATGCAAATCATTCGTTTTCCTTCAGCATGGGTCAGCCTTCTGTCTACTGAAGAACTGGCTATGGCCACAGCTTAATATGATTCTCAACATTTACAATACCTGTAATTGCATCCCTCCTTTGCCAATCAGTATTCCCATGTCCTTGCAGTCTTCCCAAATCTGGTCCATCTCTTCAGCTGGAAGTGGCTGGCGGCTTTCCTACAAAGGAAGTTTAAACTTCAGTTTCCCACCTTTTTTATTGTTTAAAAAAAAACAGGAGGACATGAAAGAATCAAACAATACATAGCCATTAATCACAAGAAAGTGGATTTTTATGTTGTGAGTTTTTGTCCATGCGCAGGCAATTCAAAAGGTACTTTGAGTTGCTAATGGCAAAGCATTAATAAATAAAATACAATATGTTGGCTATGTTAACATTCAATTTCACAGGTTTTAGAATTGCAGGTTGATATACTCAGCATCACAGTACAGCTTCTGTTGTGACTCAGCAGATGTCTGCTGTGAGTCTTTTTGGGATACAAGATTCATTATGCAGCTGGGGCTTGTTAGAGGCAGGTTTGGAGATAAAAGGAGGGATGCTGCCATGCCCTAGTCGCAGGAGTCAACATACGTTCCTTCATAC